TGCATAGCCAAAACAATACTAAGCAAAAATCACAAAGCTGGAGGCATCATGACACCTGATTTCAAACTATACTACAAGGCTACAGTAATCAAAACAGCATGGTACTGGTACCAAAATAGCGATACAGACCAATGGAACAGAACAGAGGCCTTGGAGGCAACACCACACATCCACAACCATCTGATCTTTAACAAACCTGACAAAAACAAGCGATGGGGAAAGGATTCCCTGTTTAATAAACAGTGTTGGGAAAACTGGCTAGCCATGCGCAGAAAGCAGAAACTGAACCCCTTCCTGACACCTTACAATAAAATTAACTCCAGATGGGTTAAAGACTTAAACATAAGACCTAACACCATAAAAACCCTAGAAGCAAATCTAGGCAAAACCATTCAGGACACAGGCATAGGCAAGGACTTCATGACCAAAACACCAAAAGTATTGGCAACAGAAGCCAAAATAGACAAATGGGATCTGATTCAACTCCACAGCTTCTGCACAGCAAAAGAAACAGTCATTACAGTGAATCGGCAACCAACACAATGGGAAAAAAATTTTGTAATCTACCCATCTGAAAAAAGGGCTAATGTCCAGAATCTACAAAGAACTAAAACAGACTTATAAGAAATAAACAAGCCCATTCAAAAGTGGGCAAAGGATATGAACAGACACTTTACAAAAGAAGACATATATGAGGCCAACAAACATGAAAAAATGCTCATCATCACTGGTCATTAGAGAAAAGGAAATCAAAACCACACTGAGATACCATCTCACGCCAGTTAGAATGGCGATCATTAAAAAATCTGAAGACAACAGATGCTGAAGAGGATGTGGAGAAATAGGAACACTTTTACACTGTTGGTGGGAGTGTAAATTAGTTCAACCATTGTGGAAGACAGTGTGGCGATTCCTCAAGGATCTAGAACCAGAAATACCATTTGACCCAGCAATCCCATTCCTGGGTATATACCCAAAGGATTATAAATCATTCTGCTATAACGGCGCGTGCATGCATATGTTTATTACAGCACTATTCACAATAGCAAAGACTTGGGAACAAACCAAATGCCCATTATTGATAGACTGGATCAATAAAATGTGACACATATACACCATGGAATGAAACCATCATTCTCAGCAAGCTAACACAGGAACAAAAACAGGAACACCACATGTTCTCACTCATAAGTGGGAATTGAACAATGAGAACACATGGACACAGGGAAGGGAAGATTACGCACTGGTGCTTGTCATGGGTGGGGAGCTAGGGAAGGGATAGCATTAGGAGAAATGCCTAATGTAGATAACAGGTCGATGGGTGCAGCAAATTGCAATGACGTGTGGCGATTCCTCAAGGACCTAGACATAGAAATTCCATTTGACCCGGGAATCCCATTACTGGGTATATCTCCAAAGGATTATAAATCATTCTATTATAAGGACACATGCACACGAATGTTCATTGTGGCACTGTTTACAATAGCAAAAACTTGGAACCAACCCAAATGCCCATTGATGATAGGCTGGACAGGGAAAATGTAGCACATATACACCATGGAATATTATGCCGCCATATAAAACGATGAGTTCGTGTCCTTTGTAGGGACATGGATGAACCTGGAAACCACCATTCTCAGCAAACTGACACAAGAACAGAAAATCAAACACCGCATGTTCTCACTCATAGGCGGGTGTTGAACAATGGGAACACATGGACACAGGAGGGGAGCATCACACACTGGGGTCTGTTGGGGAGAAATAGGGGAGGGACAGCAAGGGGTGGGGAGAAGTGCCAGATATAGGTGATGGGGAGGAAGACATCAAACCACACTGCCATGTGTGTACCTATACAATAGTCTTACATGTTCTTCACATGTACCCCAAAACCTAAAATGCAATTTAAAAAAAAACAAATTTAGCAAAGTTGCAAGATACAAGATCAACATGCAAAAATCAGTAGTGCTTGTATATACCAATGAATGAAATATCTGAAAAAGAAATCAAGAAGGAAATGCCATTTATAACAACAACAAAGAAAAAAGTAAAACACCAAAGATTAAATTTAAACAAAGAGGTGAAAGACCTTAACAGGGAAAACTACAAAACACTGATGAAAGAAATTAAAGAGGATATCAACAGAAAGATTCCATCCCACCATCACGGGATTGGAATAATATTGTTAAAGTGTCCATACTACATAAAGCAATCTATAAATTCAATGCAATGTCTATCAAAATACCAACATAATTTTTCACAGAAATAGAAAACCAATCCTAAAATTCGTATGAAACCAAAAAAGAGCCACAATTAACCAAAGCAATCCTGAGCACAAAGAATAAAGGCAGGGGCATCACATTATCTGACTTCAAAAGATATTACAAGGCTATAGTAACCAAAACAGCATGGTATTGGTATAAAAATGGACCAATAAAACAGTAGAGAACCCAGAAATAAATCCACGTATTTACAGCCAACTGATTTTCAACAAGTTTCCAAGAACATACACTGGAGGAAAGAATACTCTCAATAAATGGAGTTGGGAAAACTGGATATCCATATATCCATATGCAGAAGAATTAAACCAGAAGACCCTTATCTCTCACCATATGCAAAAATAAACTCAAGATGGATTAAATACCTAAACATAAAGCCAAAACTATAAAACTACTAGGAGAAAATATAAGGGGAACACTATAGGACATTGGTCTAGACAAATATTTTACGGTTAAGATGTCAAAAGCACAGGCAAGAAAAACAAAAATTGACAGATGGGACTATATTAAACTAACAGGTTTCTACACAACGGAAGAGCAGAAGAAAACAATCAACAATTGAGAGACAACTGGTTGAATGGTAGGAAACATATGCAAACTATTCATTCAACAAAAGACTAATATAAAAAACATACAAGGTACTCAATGGTTAAAAAAAGAAAGAAAAAAAAATCATTAAAACGTGGGCAAAGGACCAGGTGTGGTGACTGACTCAAGCCTGTAATCCCAGCCTTTGGGAGGCCAACGTGGGCAGATCATGAGGTCAAGAGATCGAGACCATCATGACCAACATGGTAAAACCCCATATCTACTAAAAATACAAAAATTAGCTGGGTGTGCTGGCACACCCCTGTAGTCCCAGCTACTCAGGAGACTGAGGCAGGAGAATCACTTGAACCCAGAAGGCAGAGGTTGCAGTGAGCCAAGATCAAACCACTACACTCCAGCCTAAGCAAGACTCGCTCAAAATAAAAAAAGTGGACAAAGGACATGAATTCACATTCTGAAAGACAATCAAGTGGCCAACAGGTATATCACCTTCCAAAACGCTACTTTCTAGTACATCACCTTGGGGGTTAGTATTTCAACATAAGAATTTTGGGGAACTTATTCAGACCACAGCAAGCACCAAATGTAACGTTGTTTTCACAGTTCTTATTTTACTTAATATTTTATTCAAACATTCATTTCACTTCGAGTATTTCTTTTTAGTTGTTTTTTTTTTTTTTTTTTTTTGAGGTGAGGCTTAGAATAGAAAGGCAGCAAAAATACTTCACAAGATCAGTGTTCCAAGCAACACCTGGGGAAATGCTAGTGTGAAGTACTCCAATTATAAATGTATCACTGATTTATTAAAGAATATTTAATCTTCTATCTTTTGGCACTGAAAAAAAAATTTAAAACTAAAACAACCAACTGGTCAACATAAGTATCATGATATTTGTTATGCTTCATTGCCTTTCCTTCTGTAATCATATTGATGTGCAAGAAGCCCATTAATGACCTACAAATCTGATTTAGGGAAGCACAAAACATATTGAGTCCAAAGCTCAAAATGTTGACACATCACTCGCTACAGTTATCCTGTGGGAAATCTCAATATTCCCCACAGAAAACAGTTAAGTATCTTACAAAAGAAGAGGGGAAAAAATAGCAAGAAAGAAACTGTGCAAGGAACTCAGTGAATACAAAACTAAGAAGATCAAAATTCTGAAATTCACCATTAGATAATGTCCTGGTTTTCTTTAAAATGTAATCAATTTTTGGGGATATACCCAAAGAACTATAAATTGTTCTACTATAAAGATACAGCCGGGCGTGATGGCTCACGCCTGTAATCCCAGCACTTTGGGAGGCCGAGGTGGGTGGATCACGAGGTCAAGAGATCGAGACCATCCTGGTCAACGTGGTGAAACCCCGTCTCTACTAAAAATACAAAAAAAAATTAGCTGGGCATGGTGGCGCGTGCCTGTAATCCCAGCTACTCAGGAGGCTGAGGCAGGAGAATTGCCTGAACCCAGGAGGCGGAGGTTGCGGTGAGCGGAGATCACGCCATTGCACTCCAGCCTGGGTAACAAGAGCGAAACTCCATCCCCAAAAAAAAAAAAAAAAGATACATGCACACATATGTTCACTGCAGCCCTGTGTACAACAGCAAAGACCTGGAACCAACCCAAATACCCATCAATGATAGACTGGACAAAGAAAATGTGGTACATATACACCATGGAATACTACACAGCCACAAAAAACGATGAGTTCGTGTCCTTTGTAGGGACTTGTATGAATCTGGAAACCATCATTCTCAGCAAACTGACACAAGAACAGAAAGCCAAACACCGTATGTTCTCACTCATAGGAGGGTGTCGAACAACAAGAACACATGGACTCAGGAAGAGGAGCATCACACACTGGGGGCAGCTGGGCGTGGGGAGGGAGGGGAGGGTGGGGACGATAACATGGTGAGAAATGCTAGATATAGTATGCACTTAAAGTAAAATAAATTAATTAAATAAAAATTAAAAAAATAAGAAATGAAAAAATAAAATATAATCAATTTTAACTTTTAAAAGTGTATTAATTTGTTGCTTTGGGCCATTCACGTCTATTTACAAGAAAGAAGGCAAATTTTTCATAACATGATTGAAGAAAGACCCATGTAAGTTTTAGTTTGGTACCTCAAAGTTATTGGTAAAAATAAAAAAGTTAATTAATTGAGCCATATTTACAGAAAAACTAGCTGACTTTATTATTATTGCCAAACAAATCTTTAAATCAACTAAAATTTATTTAATTAAGCATAAAGTTACTTTCACATTTGTCTACAACCACAGTAAATACAGTTCTTGGCATAAAGACACAGCTCTTAGAATTTAAAGCCTCCCCACCTGCAAGATTACATATATAAAACTCCGACTGTTGTTTATATAATAGTGGATTAGTTAACCAAATTAAAATAGTTATACTATGTAGAATAAAATAAAACGGAAATAATTTACTCATAAGATTTATATTTAAATCATCTTTATTTACAAAATACTATCCTGAGAATAATAATTCCATTAAGCTTCAATTTGAGCAAACGTGTAATCACTTAAGTAACAGCAGTTACTTAAACTGAAAATGAGATCAGTCAAAATTACTTTTGAAGAGAGCGAAAATATTGTCAGGTTTCTCGCTGTGGTTCTGGGTGTTCAGGAGCAGGCTCATTTGAAGGCGGAATCAACCCTGAAGGGAACTCACTTCTACCTTCAGAATGTGGGGGTGGGGGTAAAAATCCAGGTCTTGGGGGAAGGTAAGGAGGAAAACCCCTCGGTGGATAGACATTTCTCACTGTTCAAAGAGATTGGTAAAACACATTTTTTAACTTTAAGAACCTATACTGTGCACTAATAAATCATTAAGTTTATAATTTCCATTACCTATTCTTTTATTTGAAAATTGACCACAGAATAATTACTTGATCTAACATATTAATTTTTACAACATTGAGAAAAATGTTCCTCTTCAAACACAGATGAGTAAAGAAAATATTAATTTTTATGTAATTTTTGTCCTATCTTAATACCTGTTTTTTTCAAAAAAGAGGAATTATTTCAAAATATAGAAAACCTACTGTAAGAATAACTTTTTCTTTCGTTATCAAAGTCCTTCTCAAAAATACATTTTCACGTAATATAATTTTCACCAAACTTAAAATTTACATCATTGATTTCCAATTCTCATTTGATGTTATACTAAAACGTTTCCAGTTATATCACTGAGTCCCAATTCTGATTTGATATTATACTAAAACATTTCCAGTTATATCAAAGACCACCTTAAAATCCCCCCAAACAAAATTCATTTTAATTCACTTTAAACTTTAAAAAGAGAGGAGAAACAAGGGAAGGAATGACTACATGAGACATTCATTGGCAAAGCCTAGAATTTGGTAACTACATATTAATTCTACAGAACCGTATAGTTCAAAACGGTAAAGTATAAAAATAAAGGAAGATACTATTCCCTTTTTCTTATGTGAAGCTTTAAAAGAATTCAATAAATCCAACAATTAGGTCAAACATAATAAATACATTTTAAGTTTTAAATAAGTATGACTACATCAGAACTACTTATGAAAAAGACTTTTAAAAATAACTTAGTAATTTTAATGCTAGAATATAAATTTTAAATAGTTTAGCTAACTGCCAGAATAACCAGTTGCTACCAAATAAGATACAGATAATTTTAGTTCTATCATAAGACCTGCAAAACCTCAATTATTTTTTTGACTACCAAAATACAGAAATAATTCTATATTATTAAGATGAATCAAGTTGAAACCTCATTATAGTCCACTTATGGCTGGCTGCCTTCCCAGTTTGGAAAAGTAATGTTATATTCACAGAATGCTAGAAAAATTTTTCCTCCACTGTGTTACTACATGAACAGATAGTAAAATATCTCTGATTAGTAAAACATATACTGAACTTAAAAAAATTTTTTTTTACAAAACAAGCATACTTGCAAATGGAGCATGTGGTGGACCTGGGAAATCCCTTGGTGGAAAATAATCTCGAGAAGCTCCAAACATGGTTCCTGGAGGAGGTAGGGGGAAAGGAGGTCCTCTTCTCACGAAGGGGCCCCTTGTATCCACTGGAAACAATGGACCTCTCATTGGAGCAAGAGGTGAAGGAACAAAGCCAGGGACAGCTGCTTCATTTTCAGCGGGGAGAGATGCATCAGGCACGTTTAAATTCTATAATAAATTGACATATGGTAGTCACTAAAACAGAAAAATTTGCAATCGTTTTCTTGAAAATCTCAAGCTTAGAGACAGAAAGCATTCTATGACAGTCGTCTTCTTTTTTTTTGAGACGGAGTTTCGCTCTTGTATACCCAGGCTGGAGTGCAATGGCGCGATCTCGGCTCACGGCAACCTCCGCCTCCTGGGTTCAAGCAATTCTCCTACCTTAGCCTCCCGAGTAGCTGGGACTACAGGCCGCGCCACCATGCCCAGCTAATTTTTGTATTTTTAGTAGAGACGGGGTTTCACCATGTTGACCAGGATGGTCTCAATCTCTTGACCTCGTGATCCACCCGCCTCGGCCTCCCAAAGTGCTGGGATTATAGGCGTGAGACACCGCACCCGGCCCCATGATAGTCTTCGAAAGCTCTAGAGAAAGATTCAAACAGCTTTCCACATTAATATATCAGCTATCACACTTTGGCTATCACAAATATTTTATTAAGTCAACAGAAAACAGTTTTAACCAACAAAGTAGTATTCTGGCTAAAGATAAAGCAGAAATATAGCCCAAGAGCACCAAAATATATATTCTTTTATCAAATATATACTGGGAAAAAAGAAAATACAAGATGTCTATGTTTATATTTTCCAAAAATCAATATTTTAATTCACAAAAATATACTTTAAAATATTCAAATAAAAATCCAAGGTGGGGGGAATATAAAATCTTGTTTAACTACTAAACTAACTCAAACTCCTAGTCTGCAAATTGTATTTTATCACCATAGCTTACAATCTACAAAAGAAATAACTTTAATGTCAGGTAGAAAGTATTATTAGTCGGCCAGAGGCAGTGGCTCATGCCTGTAATCCCAGCACTATGGGAGGCCAAGGCGGGCAGGATCACCTGAGGTTGGGAGTTCAAGATCAGCCTGACCAACATGGAGAAACCCCATCTCTACTAAAAATACAAAATTAGCTGAGTGTAGTGGCGCATGCCTGTAATCCTAGCTAGCTGGGAAGCTGAGGCAGGAGAGTTGCTTGAACCCGGGAGGCAGAGATTGTGGTGAGCTGAGATCGCGCCACTGTACTCCAACCTGGGCAACAAGAGTGAAGCTCCATCTCAGAAACAAAAAAAAAAAAAAAGAAAGTTTATTAGTCAAAAAGAGAAAATCAGCTTTGTATCAAAATCTAGATTATTAGCTATATTTATGTTCCAGTAAACCATAAGATTAGAAGACTCAGGTGGCTCACACCTGTAATGCCAGCACTTTGGGAGGCTGAGGCAGGCGGATATTCTGAGGTCAGGAATTCAAGACCAGCCTGGCCAACATGGTAAAACCCCACCTCTACTAAAAAAAAAAAATACAAAAATTAGCCAGGCATGGTGGCGCATGCCTATAACCCCAGCTACTCAGGAAGCTGAGGCAGGAAAATTGCTTGAACTCAGGAGGCGGAATTTGCAGTGAGCCAAGATGGTGCCACTGCACTGTAGCCAGGGCAAGTGAATACATGGATACAATTCCACTTTCAATACTTACACCAAGATCATCTTTGGTATCATTTCTACTGGATTCCATTTCTGAAGGCACTGACCCATCTAGACATAAAAGTTAAACCATGAAATGTATGTGATTAATCACTTCATTCCTATAGTATTTCCAGATCACAAAACTGGTATTTTTCCCACTCCCCTTGTTGGCACATAAACCAGCTGGACACCAACATGGCATATTGGGACCACAAGAACAGCTTGAGTTTCCTAGAAATTCTGGCAGACTCAGAGTTCTGCAGTGGCATGTGGCAGTGATTCTCTTCCTAAGCAATTGTGCTGCTGCAGCATGCTAAGAAGACACCTGGGAGGAGGCATGTCTCTCCTTCCTTCTTTTCCCCCTCCCTCCTTTCATTTTTCTCTCCCATCCTCTTCTCCTTCCTCCCCGTCTTCTTTCCTTCCTTATTCCTCCATTAAGAGAGACTAGCCATTGGAATTTAGCTACTGTTCCCAATTTGTTATCATCAAGAACTGCAATCCCCTCTGACCACAACTACCTCTCCTCTTCCAGCTTTCTCATTTAGTAACTCTCACTACATCTGTCCTTGGAAGTCACTGATGCTTCCACTACTCTTACCAGTGAGTTTCCTCCCTCACTTCCTTCCCCAATTAACTAGACTCCAAAGTCCATGACTTCAGCCAGTTATCAATATCCTTGTCTTACTGGTCATTTTTCACATGTGCTTCACAACACTGAAATATTCAACTACGAACAGTAGCACTTAAAAATTATTATGCCAAATTAGGTATTGATCAACCAGTATTAAAAAACTGACAGATGTAAAAATTTTTAAATCGCATAGAAATGAATGTTTAATCTCACATTACTTTCATTCCATTAAACCTGATTTAATGGTGGGAATACAATTTCTAAAACCAAACAGAAAGAATTAATTATAATTCTGTAAGACCTTGGGACTGCTTTCTTTGCTTGTTATTTTTATAGTCTTACAATCTGATTTTCTGGCCAGGCACAGTGGCTCATGCCTATAATCCCAGCACTTAGGGAGGCCAAAGAGGGCAGATTACTTGAGGTCAGGAGTTGGAGACCAGCCTGGCCAACATGGTGAAACCCCTCTGCTAAAAATACAAAAAATTAGCTGGGAGTGGTGGTGGGTACCTGTAGTCCCAGATACCCAGGAGGCTGAGGCAGGAGAACCACTTGAATCCAGGAGGTGGAGGTTGCGGTGGAGCCAAGATGGTGCCACTGCACTCCAGTCTGGGCAACAGAGTGTGACTCTGTCTGAAAAATAATAAATAAAATAAAATACTGATTTTCTAGGCTAGACAAGGTGTCTCATGCCTGTAATCCCAACACTTTGGGAGGCCGAGAGAGGTGGATCGCTTGAGCCCAGGAGTTCAAGACCAACCTCAGCAACATGGCGAAATCTCATCTCTACAAAAAATAGAAAAAATTAGCCATGTGTGGTGGCGCACTCCTGTAGTCCCAGCTATTCAAGTGGTTGAGGTAGGAGGATCGCTTGAGCCAGGAGGTCGAGGTTGTGATGAGCTGAGATCATAGCACTGCATTCAGCCTGGATGACAGAGCAGGGCACATGCTCGCTCGTGCACACTCTCTCCCTCTCTCTATACATATATTTTTTCCTTTAATATTTTTTAAATAACAAAATATTTATTTTCTGGAATAGTAAACTATTTCCACTGGATAATACTCTCTCTTTCAAATACATGTTCTTTCCTAAGGAAACCTTTTCCAATACATTTACTTTAACTCTTGACTTAAAAAATTTTTTTTTTATTTTCTTAATGTTCTGTACTTCTGGTTGATACACTGCATACATCTATTCCCCAACTTTAATGGGTTGCTGTGAGGTAGTTTAAGCAAAAGAGAGCCTATAAATAGTAGACTGCTCAGTATATGTTAGTTATATCTAAGTATGAAATGTTTAAATAATATAACTGATTAAAATATCAACAGAGCATGCATCTAAATTGTTTTCTGGTGGATTTTTATGTATCCATTCACACTTGTTTGCCTTATTTCCCTGATTACTAAACAGAACATGTGTAAGTGGACTAGAAAAATTAGAAAATTAGTCACAGAACAGAGTAAAATTTATCATCATAGATATAAGGAGTAAACCTATTACCATGGTGCTCAAACCAACCCACGAACATATATTTGGATGCCACGTCTGTGTACAATATAACAAGAAACATAAAACCAGGATCTTTTCAGGAAAGAGATTTTGGCCTTAGAACTACCAGAGATAGCAATTATATTGGCCTTTAATCTAGCTTCCAATTCTTTAGTATGACACCAAAATTTTTAAAGAAGAAAAACACAAAGTACTTCTTACCCATTTTATCCAAAGAAGGCATATTAAAACTTCTGAGTTCTGCTGGTCCAGACAGTCTACCAGAATTAGAATAAAATCTGTCTTGCCTTTGTGGAGGAAGAGCTGAATCAGGATACAATTGTCCTTGAAAATAAGTTTTTTAAATGTTTTCATTAATATAAATATAAATCAAGTTTACTTAAGTTTAATGTATTGAACTTATACATTTGACCTCCATTATAAAACTTAAATTCATCTTCTTGGTTGACAACAGTAAACAATTTCAGAAGAACTGCATATTTTATTATAGCAATAACTTTCATAGTAAACACAGCATAATTTGTTACTTTGGACTCTGAAAGTTTCAATGACTGTGTAAATTAGAATATGTGAAAACAGAATTTAGTTTTATACATATAAGTGAATTCATTTAACTTTCAATTTTAATAATAATGGATGGAAGTAAATACATCAATATATCAAAAAAGACCCAAGAGACAGCTAATAAGGAAAAAAATAAAAAGGAAAAAATGTTTTAAGCACAGCAAGAAATTTAGCAGAACAGGTGATAATCTGTCATCAAAGCAGAAAGAGCATCATTCAAAGGTCATCATTGTCAAACTTTTAGTAATATTGACATTTTGAAATTTAATATCTATTCCAAACCAAATGGAAAGAGACGGGTGCAGTGGCTCACACCTATAATCCCAGAACTTTGGGAAGCCGAGGAGGCAGATCACCTGAGGTTAGGAGTTCAAGACCAGCCTGGCCAACATGGTGAAACCCTGTCTCTACTAAAGATACAAAAATTAGCCAGGCATGGTGCCACATGCCTGCAATCCCAGCTACTTAGGAGCCTGAAGCAAGAGAATCACCTGAACACCTAGAGGGGCAGAGGTTGCAGTGAGCCAAGATCATGCCACTGCACTCCAGCCTGGGTGACAGAGTGATACTCCGTCTCAAAATAAAAAATTAATTAAATGAAAATAAATTTTAAAAAAACTAAAGGGAAAGATCTCTCTGACTCAACAGACAGTAAAAGTTTCTGACTGCTGAAATGAAGAACATCTGGAGAGACACAAATTTGGACACCGACTATCTCAGGTGCTTCTATAGCCACCCTCCTTTGTCCACAGGGGCGATTTATAACAATATGGTATTAGGTTGGTGCAAAAGTAATTGCTGTTTAATAATTCCTGGGTCCTGGTGGAACTCATCACTCTTGAAAAAGTATAGGTAGTCTATCTCATTCTTGAGAGGTGATGGCAGACTGCTAGACTGGATATGCATATGCCCAACTCCAAAAATAAGGAGAACATCCAAGAAGGTGAATAGTGTAACTTTCCCCTGTCCTTTTACAATTATAGATTAACAACCCCAAATTGCCTCTAATGACTGACTTTATAGAATCATTGTTAGATATGTCACTTCTCCTCTGACTCTGCCATAGGGGACCTTATTGACACATCATCTCTCCTACACAAAACCAAAGAAACCACCTGGCACCAACCAGAGTCAATAAAGAAAATTATATTTAATGAGCTCCCAATGGTCAGTGGATGTGACAGAGGAGAGAAAGATCCAGATAGCTTGAAGGCTCATTTACGCTCCCTTTCAAAATCTCAGGGAGGAGCTGTTTCAAGGGGTTTGAGTTAGCCTAATGAAAGAAAAGGTCAATACCAACCACTGCGATCTAAACTGAGTTTTCCCTTTCTACTTCAAACACAGGATTAATTAAATGGGAAACTGGGCAAGGGGATGAAATAAAGAAACCTGAAGATCAACTCTTTTTAAATCAGGTCTCAAGATGCCACATAATTATTTTGCTTCTAAATTATATCCCCACACATCGACAACCTCAGAAATAAAAAATTTTGTTACAAATGTACTACTTCATAAACTACATGGCTATGTTGCCCTCCACTGGCAAAAACAATTCATTCCTTAAATCTTACCAGGGCCTAGTATGTGTCAGGCACAAACAATACAGTGTTGGTCTTGATACAGTCTATGCCCTTATAGTCTAATTGTCATAGAAACACAATGTAATTAATGGCTTAATAAAAGGAAATACACATAAGAGGTAGCCTATCTACTTCTGATTGCAGGAATCAGAAATGGAGTCAGACGCAGTAAAGCTTGCCCTGAAAGAAAAGATTAACAAGTAATCACGGGTATTCTAGTCAAATGCACATACACACGCGCGCACACACACACACACACACACACACACTCATATGCACATATATACATACACATAATATGACACAGCTATGCGGAAAGCATATAACCAATGAAGGACTGAAATGAACTATGGAAAATAAGGACATGAAAGGTCCCTTTCTTTTTTGCTTTCATACTTTTGTTTTTTATCACCCTTATAATAGAAGAGATGATTAGAAAGAAAGAATGGAAGAAGAAAAAAACAGAAGAAAAAATGAATAAGGAGTGGGAATAAGTATACTGTAGAAATCGGCTACTCTCACATATTTCATCCACGGCTTCTGCTGAGGACGATGGAGAGATATCTATTAAAACCAAAAATAGGCCAGGTGCGGTGGTTCATGCCTATAATCCCAGCACTTTAGGAGGCCAAAGCAGGTGGACTGCTTGAGGCCAAGAGTTCGAGACTGCCTGGCCAATATGGTGAAATCCCATCTCTCCTAAAAACACACAAAAAATTAGCTGGGCATGGTGGCACAGACCTGTGATCCCAGCTACCCAGGACGCTGAGACACAAGAATCGCTTGAACCCAGGTGGCTGAGGTTGCAGTTAGCCAAGATCACATCACTGCACCCCAGCCTGGGTGACAAAGCAAGACCCTGTCTCAAAAAATTAAAATTAAACAAATAATATGCATATCCTAGCAATTCCATTTCCTGGACTCATCTTGAAAGAACATACATACAAAAAGGGTGTTAGCTGCAGCATTGTTAGTAATGGTAAAACACGAGAGACACTCTAAATGCTCACCAACAGAACTCAATAAATATACTGTGATTTCTTATATATTGAAATACTATACCACAATTAAAGTAATAAACTCTATATATATTAACATGGAAAGAAATCAAGTCTGTAATGCTAATAAGGGAATTTGATAAAACAGAACTTTACTTTTTTAAAAATCATTATTTGAACTGAAAGTTTACACATACTAAATTCATGAGTTGCTGCCTCTAGGAAAGGAAGGTATTATGCCCAGGAAAGGAAATGTAATTAGTGTTCAACTAATTTATATAGTGTGCTTTCTATGTTTCATTTACACATTTACATACAAAAAACACACATATATATCTGAAGCAAATATTAATATGTAAATTCCCAAAGCTGATATCCAGGACTGTGCTATAATATCTCAATGTGTCATGTTCACCAAGTTACTCCACCTTTCTGTGCTTTTGTTTCATCATCTGTATGGGAATAACAGAATAACACTCTTAAGAGTGTTAGAATGATTAGTAAGTGGCATTTAGTCTGACACAAATTTTATAGTTTTATCAATATCTGATGATAAATTAAGCTTATGGTTATGATTACAATAAAAATAGAGTGTTGACTGGTCTCATTCAAATTTATGACGATAAATTTCAAACTGATGCTTTTTTAACAATGCCCTATAATCATACTACACTTTACTAATGTTTGAGTTCTCACCCAAACATCATTAATTTCTCCTTCTAGCCTGAATTATTCCTATCAGCAAATAAATGTTATAATATTAACCATCTTTAAAAAACAAAGTGTTTCTTCCTCCAGGTACTATCTCATCTCTTTTTCATTCAAAGCAAACATTTTCAAAAAGTTGTCTATATTTGTCCCTAGATCTTAATCTCTCCTCAACCTAGTCTCTTCTGGAAGACTGACAAAGTAAACACAGATGTTTAATGTTTATAAAAATGCATACAGTGGCAATTTATCAACCAAATAATCATTAGAATTTATAAAGGATCATTATACAAGATAAAAGTGATTAAGAAATATATATTCTCAAAAAAATAGTAGCCTAAAATTTGGGAACAACTTTAAGTAAATATCTTTCTTTGAGAGGATAAAAGCATATACCAAGACTTTAAAACACCTTATTAAGTATGTGAAGACTACAAGTTTTCATCAAGGAGATCAAAATGAGCCTTAAGACAAACTGTAATTCTACCAAATCAATCTTGTCAGAAAAACTGTTCAGAAGCTAGAATGACAATGGTCAGCATAAATGTCTACAAATCAGAAACAGTAAAGTAAAAATTTATGCCTATGTGTTCAAAGCTATCCAAGGTATTTTGATCTGCTTAGCATACTTTTGTTTCTCAAGGAAAGAGTCAAAACTGTTCTCATCAATTTAGCTGTACACTCTATGTCTCTTATTTGTTCAGCTCTTCAAGAAAAAGAGTTTTTAAACATGCCAGGCTAAAGGCCACACTTAATTCATGACTATACCACCAAAATATAGTTGCTTACTCTCATTGCTTTGTTTACATAAAATATATTATCCAAATCAGTAAAAGAACCAACAAAAATAAGAAAAACCATATACACACTCCTTGTTCTTTTAAACAATTAAAACTAAGAATACTAAAGTTAAAAAAAAAAAAAGGACAAGGAGGGCTTAGTGGCTCATGTCTGTAATCCCAGCACTTTGGGAGGCCAACATGGCAGGATTGCTTGAGTCGAGGATTTTGAAACCTGCCTGGGCAATACAGTGAGACTCCATCTCTACAGAAAATTTAAAAATTAGTCAAGCATTAGTGGTGCATTCCTATAATCCCAGCTACTTGGGAAGCTAACGCAGGAGGATCACTTGAGCTTAGGAGGTCAACGCTGCAGTAAGCTGTGTTCATGCCACTACATTCCAGCCTGGGTGACAGATTGAGATTCTGTCTCAAAACAAAACAAAATAATAAAATAAACTTTAACTGACAATTAAAATTCAGTAAAATTAAAATGTCTGTTTCTCAAGTTATACTAGACATATTTTAAGTACTTACTAGCCACATGTGCCCAATGTCTACTGCACTGGACAGTAAAGACATGAAACATTTTTATCATTGCAGAAAGTTCTATTGGACTGAGCTGTTGTAGTAAAAGACTGTTTCAGTATTACATTCATTTCATTATATTAACTCATCAATGAATTACATAACCA